CCAGGTTCAATCCCCGGCATTTCCAGTTGAAAGGACCAGGTGATGTGAGAGACCTCAGCCCGAGACTCCGGAGAGCTGCTGCCAGTCTGAGTAGACAATACTTACCTTGATGGACCCAGGGTCTGATTCAGTGTAAGGCAGATTCATGTGTTCAATGCCTCCTTGAATCTCTGAAACCAGAAAGATGACTTCATAAGTTATTCAGTGGGCAGGGGGATGACATTTGTTAAAAAAAAGAAAGGCAACTTAGTAGCCCTTAAGGCTTTGAATTAAAAATGAGTCAACAATAGCTGCTTGTACTTGAGGTCTGGCTGGAATACATTTCCAGGGGTTGGAGGCAGGATTTTCAGTCTCCTTCCAAACTTTTAATGAAAACCATGCCACTGTCCACTTACAGTACAATCCCAGGGAGAGTTATGCCCTTGAAGTCGATGGGCTTTGAATGGTGTAACTCTGCATCAGTGTGTACCCTGGATCTCTGCTTCAGCCTCCTCTTCGGCTACAGGCCAGCAGAGCCAGAATGAATACGTGGAAGAAACCCCACCACAGAATAAATCATCTGAATGAATAGAAAACTGTATCCCTTTGATCCCTGTGCATGATTTATATAGGTAGCAGAATCCAGCTTTTCCTTGGCATAAGACTTCTAGTTCCTAGACACAGGAACTTTAAATACCAGGAACACACAGCCCTGCTTGCCTGCACCGGCTAAAACGTGCATGATCTTTGCATGTCCACTTTCTAGAAATTCTTTCCTTTCCTCGTCTTCTGCGTTTGGACGCGGAGGAGTTGAATCGGCATTTCCAGGATGTCTCCGCTGGAAAACAACAAAACAAAAACCCTGCTGCCCAAAGCTGTGTTCCGTTGATTTGCCTCTCAGGGTCCTTCATTATCTTCCTCTTCCTCTTTTCTTTATTTTTTTGCAGCCGCAACAACACCTGAACAGGAAGTGGATGCGGAGCTAGTGCAAGCAGCAGGCCAGAGTGTTCGGCCCAGCCTTGGAGACGTCACCGTCTCCGAGGTCACTCCAGATTCCCTTCTCCTCTCCTGGAGTGTCCGGGAGGGCAAGTTTGACTCTTTCCTCATCCAGTACAAGGATGTCGCCAGAAAGCTCCAGGTGCTGCCTGTGGATGGAGCCATGCGCTCTCTCCACCTCTACAACCTCACCCCTTCGCAGAGATATGAATTCAGCATCTATGGAATCTCTGGCCACGAGCGTCTCGGGCCTGTCTCAGTTGAAACTGTCACAGGTTAGCAGTGGTGTTCCGAGGGACTCTGCGGCTTCTGTTCTCTTGAACTGCTTGAGATCATCTTGTTTTCTTTGATTGCTTTCACAGCCTGTGCCATGTTCCTTTTCTCTCTTATTCCACTTTTTAAAATTTATTTAAACATTTCTATCCTGCCTTTCCTGTGGTTCAAGGTGGCTGACCGTAATAGTTCAAAACATTTTCAGTCCAAAGCAAAAATGTAATAGCAAACTCCAAATCTCTCCTCCCGTCCGTCCTTTAAAGATGCCTGCCAATTCAAACTAGGGACGTCAGCCTCCGGGTGGGACCTGGGGATCCCCCGGAATTACAGTTCATCTCCAGACTATAGAGATCAGTTCCGCTTTGGAGGGTGGACTCTGTGGTATTGTGCCCCACTGAGGTCCCCGTCCTCCCCAGGCTCCACCCCAAAGCCTTCAGGAGCTTCCCCACCTGGATCTAGCAACCCTGCCCCAGTGTTCCCTCTAAGCTGAGTTAGTGTGAGCTAGTTTTTTAGCCTCCGGCTCACACATTTTTGCCTTAGCTCAGGAAGGATGGTGCCAGAGCAAACTAATTTATGCAGTAGCCAAATCGCTCGCTCACAACTTTAATGGCAGTAGCTCACAAAGTAGAATTTTTGCTCACAGGACTCCACAGCTTAGTGGGAGCATTGCCTACCAGTGGTCAGGGGGACTTGGCAACCCTAATTAAAAACCCCTCAAAGGCCCTGGCAAACAGGCAGGCCTTTGCAGCGCCGACTACAGATCTCTATGGAGGGGATACCCCTCGCCTCCTCAGGGAGTCCCTTCCACAGATATTTGTACAGATATTTCTGTGTAGCCTTAAATAGTGCAGAAATGTAACCAGGGAAACGCTTCAGGACAAGAGGCACCGAATGGTACCTGTGTCTATAGCTGTGGTTTGTAAACTCAGAGACTGGCCCGGAACAACACGAGGAAGGATGGTGCCAGAGCAAACTAATTGATGCAGCAGCCAAATCGCTCGCTCACAACTTTAATGGCAGTAGCTCACAAAGTAGAATTTTTGCTCACAGGACTCCACAGCTTAGTGGGAGCATTGCCTACCAGTGGTCAGGGGGACTTGGCAACCCTAATTAAAAACCCCTCAAAGGCCCTGGCAAACAGGCAGGCCTTTGCAGCGCCGACTACAGATCTCTATGGAGGGGATACCCCTCGCCTCCTCAGGGAGTCCCTTCCACAGATATTTGTACAGATATTTCTGTGTAGCCTTAAAGAGTGCAGAAATGTAACCAGGAAAACGCTTCAGGACAGAGGCACCGAATGTGGTTTGTAAACTCATTACTTCTAGGCCTACGTGAACTGAGGGACTGGCCCAGAACACACATGGTAAACTCCTGTGGCTGTGAGCGCCAGGGGGGAAAGGGACGGGCGATCTGTCTTTCAGAAAGGCTTGTCCGCAGTTATGTTCCCATCAAGGAATCCTTGACAACCTTCTAAAAAATCCAACGTTCCCCAGAACACAGTTTGATCATAGGATTGCCGTTCCCCAGTTGGGGGTGGGGCTTGCCTGGTTTTGCAGGCTCTTGCCTGCCCCCGGCCAGCTGGCCTGCAGGACGAAATCCCCCCCATAGCAACGTCACAAAATGTGTCTACATCACCCAGAAGTGACATAGGCATGTGGGTGACGTTGGGGAGCGACGTTCTGGTTTTTGGGCAAACTGGATTGAGGGTGATTTTACCACAGAGCCCAAAAACCAGAGTGTCGCTCCCGACATGCCTATGTCAGTTCCAGGTGACATAGGCATGGCGCACGACATCACTTCTGGTGCCATCAGCATGTAGGGGTCGACGCTTCCAACTCCCGAACATCCCCCCCATGCCCCCGCCAGTGTCTCCAACAGACCTGGCAACCGCAGCTCTTGTCCATTAAAAGCTATGATGACAACCCTTCTTTTCCTCCAAACTCTCTCCTCAGACGTCAGAAGCTAAGCAAGGCTGGCCCTGGTTAGTACTTGGATGGGAGGCCTCCAAGGAAGTCCAGGGTTGCGACGCAGAGGCAGGCAAGGCCAAACCACCTCTGAACATCTCTTGTCTTGGAAACCCTACGGGGTCACCGTAAGTTGGCTAAGACTCGACAGCACTCTCCACCACCCTCCACCACCACCACCGATTTTTTCTCAGCTTCCTTAGCTCTCGGTTCTCTCCAGCAGGTTGCCTTTCTTCAGCAGTTTCTCCCCCCGCCCCCCCCCCCCGCACTCTGGCTCAGCTGTTTCTAATTTTTTTCAAATACATGTTTTAGGTTTCCAGCTCATGACAAGATCCTGCTTCTCTTTATTTTTCAGTTCCATTTTCTTTTTCCTTCTAGCTCCAGAGATATCCCGGGGAGAGGCTGCTGTCCAGCCCCGCCTAGAAGATCTCTCTGTCTCCAGTGTCACCAGCGACTCTGTCAGTCTCTCCTGGACTGTCCCCGCAGGGAAATTTGACTCTATCTTGGTCCAGTATAGAGATGCAAAGGGCAAGGCTCAGGTGCTGCCGGTAAACGGCGATTCCCGTAACATTACGGTCCCTGACCTGGTTTCTTCTCGCCGATACAAATTCAACCTTTATGGCATTTATGGCCGCAAGCACCTTGGTCCCATCTCCATCGATGCAGTCACAGGTCAGAACAATTGGGGTATTTGGTTAATGTAGCAGAGTTTTATCCAGTTATAGAAGCGTGATAACTGAGTGCAGTAAATAAATCTCCCAAGAAGTATATTGCAAAGAAGGTAAACTTGCATTCATTCAAGTAGATCCAGTTCACATTCAGGTTGCAGACAAAAGAAGAGAAAGAAGCCTGTTCTAAAGACTACTTTCCGATCACGACTGGCCACTCGTGGGAGTATGAGGGCACTGTATCTACAGGAGAGACCCGCAGAGACATGAGTCTCCATGGAAGGCCATGTGAAGAGAGGGAGAGGAGAAAGAGAGAGAGGAGGGGTCAGAGGGCAGCTCCCAGGTTAGGACAAAGAGAGGCATCCCCATTCATGGAGATAACACCTATACACGCTTCGCGTGAGGTAGCCCCCACCATTGTCCAGGTGTGCTGAGTCACTCGCTCCAACAAAAACCTCTTCTGAGGAAGGTTGGGATAAAAATACAGTAGGCAGGGATGGGATAGATAAAATTTGGGCCTCAAGCAGTGATAAGATGATACAGAAGTTATACAAAATGTTATTAGATGAACGGACACAAGAAGATACTCCCAATAATACAATGATAACATGGGCAAAGGATATAGGACACTACATAGATATAGAAGATTGGGCAAAAACATGGAAATCAATAAAATACACGAAAAGTACTAATTATAAGGAAAACATATACAAAGTTTGTCACAGGTGGTACTGGATAGCTAAATGTAGTCCATCCCTTTCTAAGAACTGCTGGAAATGCAAAAATAACGTGGGTTCTTTCTTTCACATGTGGTGGCGGTGTATAAAAATACAGGGCTATTGGATAATGATACAGAAGACAATCTTAGAAATAACGAATGTTAAAATTGAGTTGATCCCAGAAATTGTACTGCTGAATATGTTGCCCCTCTCCTGAAAAAAATTTTTTTCTGTTTGTGATACCAAATCAGGATACTCAGGATTCCTTTCTAGGTTATCCCATGAGAGCAAGAAGGGGTGTCAGGAGCAAAGTATTATGTGTCAGTAAGGGAGAAATATCCCTTCCTGTGATGGCTGCAGTAACACCTCTCCCCATTCCTTGTAATGTTTTTAATACAGCATCCATCTCTGTTCCAGAGTCAGGCACACAGTCGGAAGAAGCCGTCCAACTCAGGCTCGGACAGCTGTCGGCCGGTGACATCACTCCCGAATCAGTCCTCCTCTCTTGGACTGTCCAGGATGGCCATTTTGATTCCTTTATCATCCAGTACTACGACGCAGAGGGCAAGCCCCACGCCTTGCCGGTGGACGGGGGACTGCGCTCGCTGCGGCTCCATGACATGACACCCTCTCACAGATACAGGTTCAACCTCTACGGAGTCTCCGGCCGCAAGCGCTTCGGTCCAGTCTTCACGGAGGCTGTCACAGGTCAGCTGCAGCCCAGTGGTCTGCCGACCAGCTTCTTGTCATTGTCAATGCTTTTCTTTCTAAACCAGAAGGTTGTCCCTTTCCTTTCTTTTTCCAGGATGGGAGACCAGGCAGCTCTGTTGCTCTTCTCTGTTTTGGTTTTAGGCTGCTACCGGCACAGCACGCCATGACAGTAGGCCCATGTCCCATGGCATCATTCCCTTCTTCGTCCATACGGGTCATAGAAGTCCATCTTTGTTCCTCAATCTTGCAATATCACATTTTTCCTCCAGATAGTGTTCCGGACCACCAGGGGGGGGGCCTGGAGAACTCCCAGATTTACAGTTGATCTCCAGACTACAGAGATCAGCTCCCTGTGGAGAAAATGGCTGGTTTGGAGGGTGGACTCTATGGCGTTATATCTCACTAAGGTCCCTCCCCCAGGCTCCACCCCCAAATCTCCAGGAAGTTCCCGATCCAGAGTTGGCAACCCTACCTCCTCCACAGGGAATTTCATGGTAGGATTCTCAGGTCCCTTCTTCTCCCTGCAACAAAATTGAAAAGAAAACCAAGACGAAATCATGAATAAATCACGAAGAGTTTTCTACACACACACTGATTAAACATGCGACATCAATCAACAGGAAAATGTATGATGTACGGTTTTTTGTCGATTGACGTATGTTTAATCAATATGCATGTAGAAAATTCGTAAGTGGGGTTTTTTTCACGGTTTTGCTTTGGTTTTCTTGTCTACTTTCCGTGATTCTCTCGCTTGGTTTACCAAATTGAAAAGAGCACAATTAAAACAAAACTCAGTGGGACGGATCCAACCATCCTCCTTCCTCCACCCTCAGGAACATTCCCCCGACTCAAGCGGCTGTCAGTCCAGTGGAAGCGCTTTGGCACTTTCTGCTTTAACCTTCATCAGTAGTCGTTTCAAGTGTTCACTGTTTTCTGCCAATAATGTGATGTCATCTGCATATCTCAAATTGTTAATCTTCCTTCAACCAGGTTTCACTCCACCTTCATCTAAATCTAACCCAGTTTTTCTTATAATATGTTCTGCATGCAGATTGAAGAGACAGGGAGATAAAATACATCCTTGTCTGACACCTTTGCCGATTGGAAACCGTTCTGTCTCTCCATATGCTATCCTAACAGTGGCCTCTTGCCCAGTGCATAGGTTGCGCATCAAAACAGTCAGATGCTGTGGCACACCCATTTCCTTTAAGCCAGCCATAGCTTTTCACAACCCACCAAGTCAAAAGCTTTGCTGGTTTTCGCCTGACTTCCGGTGATGTCAGGGGGTGTGGCCTTATGACACACTTCCGGTGATGTCAGGGGGTGTGGCCTTATGACACACTTCCGGTGATGTCAGGGGGTGTGGCCTTATGACACACTTCCGGTGATGTCAGGGGGTGTGGCCTTATGACACACTTCCGGTGATGTCAGGGGGTGTGGCCTTATGACACACTTCCGGTGATGGCAGGGTGTGTGGCATATGCTAATGAGTTATGCTAATGAGTCCCCCTAGCTCTTTTTCTACTAAACGACCCCTGACAGTAACCAACGTATATTTGCAACTGATCTCTGGTGTGTCTTCCTTTTCTGAATTCAGCTTGAGCATCTGGTATTTCACATTCCATATACAGTAATGGTCTTTGCGGTAAGATTTTGAGCATGACTTTACTTGCGTTAGAAATGAAAGGGATGGTCCAATAGTTGCTGCAGTACTTCAGCAAACCGATAAGAGCCCTTTATTGTAAGGAACTCCATTCTAGACAAGATGGAGAAGAGACAGCACTCTAAAGTAGCTAGCCAAACTAGGGTGGATGGAGGTGCAGGAAAGCATGTCCCACCCTCATGGGTGCAAGATGGAGAGAGAAGGCCAGAAGGAAGGAAGATTTCCAAAAGGAGCAATTTGCACATCAAAGGGATAGCATTAGAGCAGTAGAAAGGAAGGGATGCACAGGCCCTACACCAGTTTGGTGTAGCGGTTAAGTGTGCGGACTCTAATCTGGGAGAACCGGGTTTGATTCCCCACTCCTCCACTTGCAGCTGCTGGATGACCTTGGACATGCTATAGTTGTTCCTCCTCCTCCTCCTCCTCCTCTTCTTCTTCTTTTTCCTCTTCTAACCTATCTACCACTCTGACTCTCTGTGGTCCCCCTCTGGAGCCTGAGGCTGAGAGACGGCGCCAAGTCTCTCTCTTCTAACAAAAACGATCCACGAATTGAAAAGCCCCAATATTAATTGCAACTCATGTAAAACCCCTCTGTTTACAGGCTAACCAGGTGCTTCTCTTAACAGGGTGTTTTGTGGGGCTTCTCCCCACCCCATCTCATCAAGGAAAGATTCCTACCATCAGAGCTGTGACTAAACATGGATTAACCCCCTGCCTCTTTCTTCCCCAGCTCCTGCAGCTGCTGGCCTGGTAGTTCCTCCACGGCCCAGTCTTGGTGAGATCTCAGCCTCGGATGTCACCGACACGTCAGTCCGCCTGTCCTGGAGTGTTGCGTCCGGGAATTTTGACTCCTTTACTATCCAGTACCGAGATGCAGAGGGCAAAGCCCAGATGTTGCGTGTGGCTGGAAGCTCCCGCAATGTCACCGTGTCCAACTTGGCACCTTCCCACAGATACAAATTCAATCTTTATGGCCTTGCTGGACGGAAGCGCCTTGGCCCCATCTCCACTGAAGCTATCACAGGTCAGAGGCCTCGGATTCCCAGGCAAGGTGGAAAGGCCCAGTCGTTTGGTGCCAGTTTGGTGTAGTGGTTAAGTGTGCGGACTCTAATCTGGGAGAACCGGGTTTGATTCCCCACTCCTCCACTTGCACCTGCTGATGTGACCTTGGGTCAGTCACAAGCTCTGGCACAGCTGTCCTTGAAAAAGAGCAGTTTGTGTCAGAGTTCTCTCAGCCCCACCCACCTCACAGGGTGTCTGTTGTGGGGAGGGGAAGGGAAAGGAGTTTGTAAGCCGCTCTGAGACACCTTTGGGTAGTGAAGGGCGGGGTATAAATCCAATATCTTCTTCTTCTTCTCTTCTTTATTGATTTATCCTTTCAAAAAACCTTCCCTGCCCACTTGAAAATCAGTGATCCTTGAAGTGGCCTTCATTCAGGGGACTTAGGTTTCATTTTAGAAGGATCCAGAAGTATTTTATATCCAGTTTTTTTAAAAAACATAGTCCCTGCAGACATTATTTTGTTTGTTTAAAATAGTTATACCCTGACTCCCCAAATAAATATCTGCAAGTCTTTTCTTTCGGAATCATGCCAAGGGAAGGGAACAGTTCACATCATGAAAGCTTTGATTAAACTTGGATGTAGTTCCATCAGCGCTAAGAAGCAGCAGCAGGGGAGGACCTCAGCCTCTATGCCCTGTTTGTTTGGCTCTCTGGGGCAACTGGTTGGCCACTGTGTAAGACAGGATGCTGGACGAGAGGGGTCCACTGGTCTAGGTTTGCCAGTCCCCTGGTTGGGGCAGGTCATCCTCCAACCAGGGGTGTGAACTAGGAGGCAGCGGGGCACGAACTCCCCAGATTTCCCAGAGGGGGCAGTGCCCCCGGGCTAGCAGGTTGCACTATGAAGCTGCTTAGGCTTAAACTGTGCAGTCTCATGTTCTCCTCATGTAAAGAGGCTTTGGAGTGTGCTTTCTGTCTCTGGGACTTTGGGACATTTGCTTGTCACCCAGGAGCACCCCTCCACTGCCTTGTCTTATTTTTTTCCTTGGGATCTTTGGAAGTTCTGCCTGAAGCCCCTACTTTCAACCTGTGGATGATCAAAACAGACAATATGTTGGAAGTTATTTTGGTATTCTGGGAATTGCAGCTTTAGAGAAAAAGAAATGGACAGGAGAGGAATATTCATGCCTTTAGCTATGTGTGTTGGGGTAGAGGGGAACAGAGGCCTGTTTCTTACCATTTCTGTTGGTTTCTTACCATTTCTGCTCCTGAAGCAGTGGGAAATCCATGGCAACCTTTAAAGGATCGGTTTATAGACTCCATTTTGGAAGAAAGATAGAAGAGTTCCAGTGCCTTTACAATGACTGGTAGATTTACAGTGGCTTTCTAGTGTGCATAAAGGTAAAGGTAAAGGTTCCCTTGCTCGAAGGCCAGTCGAATCTGACTCTAGGGTTGCAGTGCTCATCTCCGTTTCAAAGCTGAAGAGCCAGCGCTGTCTGAAGACGTTTCCATGGTCATGTGGCCGGCATGACTAAACACGAAGGCACACGGAGCGCTGTTACCTTCCCACCAAAGTGGTACCTATTTATCTACTTGCAATTTCTTGCTTTCGAACTGCTAGGTTGGCAGGAGCTGGAACTAGAGACGGGAGCTCACTCCGTCATGCGGCACCCGGGTCTCAAACTGTTGAACTACTGACCTTCCACAGCCTGCAGTTCCGCGTCTTAACCACTTGAGCCACCGCAGCTCCTCTCTAGTGTGCATATTACCCCTCAAAAAGTCAGTAAGTATTAGTAGGCTAGTCATACTGGATGAGACCAGTGGTCCACCTAGTCAAACATCCTGTCTCACAGAGTGGCCAGCCAGTTTCTCTGGAGAACCAGCAACAGAGCATAGAGATCAAGGCCTTCCCCTAATGTTGCCTCCTGACACTGCAATTCAGAGGTTCTCTATCTCTGAATGTGGAGTTTCCCTTTAATTCCCTTTAGTTACAATCAGGGGTCATTTCATAGAAAAAGAGCTGCAGGGGCTCATTAGCATATCTAATAGGCTATTAACATAATAGCTTATTAGCATATGCCACACCTTCTGACATCACCAGAAGTGATGTCAGAAGGGAAAGCAAAAGGGGGGGAGGCATCTTCAAAAGCCTCCCCTCCCCTTCCCCAGCCAGCCTGCCAAGGCGGGCTGGGGGGGAAGAAGCGAAGAGAGAAGGGGTTAAAAGTTTAAAACCCCTTCTCTCTTTCCATTATATTCTGTGGGCCATAGAATACAATGGAAAGATCTTAAAACTCCTTCTCTCTTTCCATTATATTCTGTGGGCCATAGAATACAATAGAAAGAGTTTAAACCCCTTCTCTCTGGAGTCTTTCCATTATATGGAGTGTGGGGTCGGGCAGCTGGGGGCAGGGCTTGCCGCCACCACCATTTCTGCCCACTCCTGGGCTGCCGGAGCGGTGCTCTGGCACGCTCCGGGCCCAATGGACCCCTGGTCACGATGGCTATACCAACTGATAGATCTGTTCTCCCATGGTCTCCAGAACCCAAATCTGTTTCTTGCCAGCCAAATCCATAAACCGCCACTATTCCACTCTCCTTTTGTACTGCCTCTCACCCTCAAGACTGGGCAAAGCAGTTTCGCCCTCCTCCTCTACCGGTGAGCATGAGTTGCAATTTAAGAGATCAGAACAAACTAACTGCCCATTTCCCCTGTCATGATGACCAGGGCAGTACACGGCTTAAGGGACGGGCGCTTTTTACACAGGACAGCCAGATTTACGGAAACCTCTGCCTTCTCTCTCTGTTCTAGCTCAAATGGAGGAGCCAAGAAAGCATCCCAAACTGGGGGACCTCTCCATCTCCGAGGTGACCAAGGACTCCGTCCGCCTCTCGTGGACCACCGCTTTTGGGGAATTTGACTCTTTCCTCATCCAGTACAAGGATGCTGAGGGCAGGCCCCAATCATTACCTGCAGACGCTGACTCCCGCACACTTGTTGTGTCTGGCCTTCTGCCTTCCCAGAAATACAAGTTTAACCTCTACGGCATTTCAGGGAGGAAGCAGATTGGACCCATTTCAACCGATGCTGTCACTGGTGAGTGCCCTGGATGGGACTTGCACCATAACCCCCTGTCTGGGCTTCCTCTTTGCCATTTCTGCAGTAGTGTCTGTGGATCACTTTTCTTCTGGCTCTACTTTGTATGTGTTTTCTCTCTGCCCTTTAAAGAACCCTGTCTTTCACTCAGATAGTTTCTAATGGGGAGGGGGGTTTCAAATGTTTAGAAATCATGAAGTGTGACCAGGTCCTGGTGGTCTTGAAAAATCCATCCTGGCCCTGAGCTGGATAGCCCAGGCAAGCCCGATCCCATCAGCTTACATGCATGGGAGACCTCCTTGAATATGTTGGGGAAAATAGGCGAAAAATACTTAAATATTCGGTTTGCAATGGATCTTTGCTTCACTGGAGAGGAGGCATTTCTTTCTGAGTAAAAATCTTTATTTCTAAGGGGAAAGGGTACACAGGAAACCTACAAAATAAAAGAGATACCTAGAACTACATCTTTACAGCTACAAACAGACAGACCACATGGTCACACAACAATGGAGATTCTTCTTTCCTCTTGACCCCTAGAAGGAAGTCACTTGATTGCATTAACCAATCAATATTACAAAACAGACTTTAGTTTTCCAGGGCTATCTTTCCTTTGGCTCTGTGCCAGGTTTCCTTCCGGGTCAGGCTAAACAAAATCCCACAAGGTAAACAACAGATTAACCCTATAATGACTGAATCTTAGTCCTTGCGACTCACATATTTCCAACAGAAATAACAGCAGTTGGGAGGACAGGGGCAGGCTTTATTCAGCCACCTCTCTGAATATCCTCCAGGGCCCCAGGAGAGGTCAGTCACCAGAAGTCACCATGACTTCCAGGTGCCCACCAATGCTCCCTCTCAGCTGTGGAGTCTTGTGAGCCAAAATTCTACTTTATGAGCTACTGGCATTAAAGATGTAAGCGAGTGATTTAGCTACTGCATAAATTAGTTTGCTCTGGAGCCCTCCTTCCTGAGCTAAGACAAAGATGTGTGAGCCAGGGGCTAAAACACTGTGAGCTAGCTCACACTAACTCAGCTTAGAGGGAACACTGGTGCCCACACACACACACACACCTGCACATATGAAAAATACAAAAAAGAAAAATGCACCCTGGACAAATGTGTTGAGAGCTGGGTAGGTTATGGGGGCACAACCAGTTGCTAGCTGCCATCTCTGAGAAGTAGAGAGGACCATATCTCAGTGTCAGAGGACATGCCTTGCATGCATATCTCCCAGAGTTTGCAGGCCTCCACACAGGGAGCTACATATGTTATAATGTCAGTGAGCAACATGATGAGGCTCAGGGGCATATAGTGTACTCCAAGAGTAGCAAATGATATAACCACCTTGACGACACTTTACACACACAATAGGCAATGTGAAAGATCTCTGCCTGAGGCCCTGGAGAGCTACAGCCAGTCGGAATAGAGCGAGGATCCCCAACGTGGTGTCTGTGGGCACCATGATGCCCGTCAACATCTTTTCTGGCACCCAGCAAGTGTTTCAAGAAAGTGGGTGTGGCCAGGTAGAGCTCCTGCCCCACAAGGCTTCTGATTGGTCACCAAGATTTGATTGGCTGTGCAAATATAAATAGCATCATTTCAGCGGCAGCTGCCAACACAGTATAGTTTACTTCTCTCACACATTCCTCCTTCCCAGTGTACTTTTTTTTTTTTTTAATACCCCTTGTTCAGGGTTGAGAGTGGGTCCCAGCCCCATGGCAGTGCAAAGGGTCCCAGAATGCCCCAAGATTCGGCAAGATGACTCCTGCCCCCCCCCAGCCTGTACAGCCCCCCCCCCAGTCTGGAGCTCACCTGGGAACAGGGGATTGTAGCAATGGCAGTCCAGGCTATCAGGGAGCTGGGGAAGTGAGGCGGGAGCCCCAAAACCATTGTGGCCCCAGCCCAGGCTGCCACAGAGCTGAGAATGCCGTTGGGGCGTAGGAATGGGCACAAACCAGCTCACGAACTAGAGTTTGTGATGAATTTTGGGCGGGCACATGAACTTTCCACAAACTTTCACGATGTTCATGGCGGTTCGTGCCAGTTCATGAATGGATACAGTTCCAGACAGACGGTCTCTACTCAATCTAAATGTTTATTAAACTTCAAAGCAATGGGGGCGGGGGAGAACTTGGAGAGCATGTAGAGGAGTATCCAGGGGAGGTCCCCGGCGACTTTGATGCCTCTAGCTTCCAGAAGATCCATTCTGTACACTTCCGAACCTCCTGAACCTGCGCCTGTCAGAATGACCACCTGTCATTTCCCCAGAAAGCAGGAGCGATGTGGGTAAGGGGTGAGTGGAGGGGCAGGGCACGTGGGCTAAATCGCCAATGGGGAGACAGGCCAGGAGGGCAACGGGTGAGATATCCAATGGTCGTTTGGGCCCAGGATAGGACTAGGCAGGTGACAGGAGGAGTTGAGGGGGCTGTGACAGATGGGGAAATAAAAGGAAGTCCAGAGAAACAGGCTGGGGAGAAAAAAAAACTGGTGGTCCTATGCTGAGAGAGAGTCATGGCCAGTCGGGGAGGAGAAGGAACAAGGTGACACAACCTTCTTTCCTCCCATTCTGAGGCCTGGGGACTTCCCTCTGAGCAGCAAGCAAGATAGGGGAGTGCTGACCATCACAAGGCAAGCGGGCGAGATCTCACACCCCTCCTCTTCACTGCAGTTGGGCTTTCCCTGTGTATATGACTCTGCCTCCCATGGCAGCCATTTTGTGGCTTTTCCCACCACCCTGTGACGGAAAGGTGCCCTCCAGCTCAGACAGGTTGGGAACCCCTGGAGTAGAGTATACCAACCTGGACAGACCAATGGTTTGCCAGTATAAGCAGGTTCATGGGTGCCCTCCCATCTCTGTATTTGGAAACACTTCTTGTCTTGCCATCAAGCTATTAAAGACATGGGACTTCTGCCAGGAGGAAGCGGTGTTCTTAATTTTATCAAAATCTTCCCCCCCACCCCACTTTTGTGCCAAGGTGGTTAACATCTAATGATAAACGAAAGAAAGCAGTCATGGGATAAGAGGATGGGTCCTCTTATGGATTAAAAACCGATTACATGACAGATCCAGGTGGTCAGTCGTGATGGTCTGAAGCAGTAGAGCAAATTTAGAGTCCAGTGGGGCACCTTTAAGACCAACAAAGACCACGAAACCTTGAATAAAGCTTTGTTGGTCTTAAAGGTGCCACTCTAAATGTCATTAAGTGACAGGAAGCAAAAAGTAGGACTAAACGGACAGTTCTTCTCACAATGGATGGAAGTGAGCAGTGGGGTCCCACAAGGATCGTTATTGGGGCCAGTATTATCTATATACTAATACCAAAGTCGCCCCCTGGTGTGTGGATAGCTAAATCCACGCACCGGGGGCACCCGGGGGGGGAGGGAGAGTTTTGTGCACACGTGGGGCGGTCCCCAGGTGTGCACAAAAATCTAAAAAGTTTAAAAAATATCGGGGGGATACTTAAATCCCCCCCAAAGTGACAGAGCGTCCCCTGCGCATGC